GCATCTTTACGGCGTTCGAGAACGTACCGAAATCTTGGTTCTCGCCGCAATTTGTGGAACTAGGGATGGAGACGGTGGAGCTATTGCTGCAGTCGGACAAGTTCCCGACAGTTTCCGAGGAACTAGTGGTGGACGCAATACTTGGGTGGGTGAGGGCTAACGTCGACGAGATGGACGGGAGACGGGAGGCGATGACGAGGCTGTCCACGCACATTGAGTTTAAGTGCCTGAGTTGGAAGTACCTAGAGATGGTGCGGGATGCTCCGGAAATGCAGTCGCAGTCGATTCAAGGAACGGTCCACGACCTCATGGAGCTGCGGTCATATGTCGACGGGCACGAGAGAGACTGGCCTGCGGACGCCCCTTGCTTCGGGATAGTTAAGAGATCCCACCTTGAGATGATAGGCACTTTCCGTCCGGGAAGGAATTGTACAGCAGCTTCAAAGACGGTGGGTTGGTTTGGCTGGCAATTGCGGTTGTGCCAAGGGCCGGGATTTGTAGAAAAGAAGAAGGGTCTTTGTTTGCATCTTGAGGCCGAACGGGCAATACAAAGTCGACGTTGTCATTTGGATCTTGTCCAATTTGCCTTCTGCCTTCAAGATCAGCAGACTGGCGATTGGAAGTTCATTTGCTGTGTAGTCACGAGCTTCGAGCAAGAGTTCTATAAAAGTCTACTCTTTGACAAACCAAAGAAGAAGATGAAAGAATTTATAGACGAACATGGTGACGTTGTATTTCGATTGGAAATCTGCAAAGCAGACTAAATGCAGAAAGTCTGCGAATCTTGAATTTGGGATAGGGGATGGAAAAAGACAGCGATGGTTATGGTGCCCTGTATCGTCTTGAAGTTTTTGATCTGTCAAGGTTGATTGCATGTTGCAATGATATGCACAACATCTAGACACGCACCTTCTGCATGATCGACTTGCATTGGAACTACGTGAAGGAACATGACGTACCTGTTGTAAACTTACAATAATCTTGCATGTAATCTTGATCCGATCACATACGTGTCTGTACGTATCGATTTTGTTACGTGCCTGAAGTACTCGATCGTTCAATGATTATATAGGAAGATCGAAGCATAATCAATTGCTTATCTAGCTGACGTAGAGTGCAAAAAACACACTCAATTCCTCTCAATCTATTGCATGCAATGTGGTCAAGTCTTGTGGTTCTGCACCTGGGCCCAAGCCTGTCTTCAGTACTTGGCCACGAGGTCGACATGTAAGTTTGAGGGGCCAAGGAGCTACCTGGCATCCGACACTACATGCAGGTAAGCTCACATGCCATATACGGTATGTTTGATTAGTACGACGGTACACCATCAGACCATCATCTACCGTAGTGCCTGTCTTTGAAGTTCCCACCAGCATGCAGAGGCCGCGGTCCGCGCACAGCCTTATCGACGAAGTAGAGGCCTGCACTCATATGATCTACGGAGCAGAAACCAGCAGGCAATGAGTCACGTGATGCACGCGGGCAGCATTCTGATATAGACAGGTCCAGATGTCAGGGCCAGACGGAGACTAGACTCGAGTCTGTGCATCCATTGCATCATTGGAAATCCTCTCCCTTGGGGCCACTTGGGGCCAAGCAAATCCCAGGCAATTGCTAGATTTCTAGGCCATTGTGCATCATGAAGATGGCGTTGTGCAGGGGCGCAGCTTGAAGGCGCAAGAGACTCCATCCGGTCTGCCGAGCTTTTACATAGTTGCATTGTCACCATACGTTCGACATGTGCATCGTCCCCTAAAACCCTAAAACCTCATAGTCCTCCCCTCCCTCCTCCTAGTGGTTTTACCAAGGGACCCTGACTATATATGCATTACCCATCAGGATCTAGGGTTGCCTGACCCATGTGGCATACATAATCAGGATTTGCGGTTCCTGACCCAATATGCATTGTTGGTCAGGATTGAGGGTTTCCTGACCCAACATGCATCGTTAGTCAGGCTGCAGGGTTTCCTGACTAACTATGCATTACACATCAGGCTTCAGGGTTTCCTGACCCCTGTTGCATTCACAATCAGAATTTAGGGTTTCCTGACTCAATATGCATCAATAGTCAGGCTGCAGGGTTTCCTGACTAACTATGCATTACACATCAGGATTTAGGGTTTCCTGACCCATGTGGCATACATGAGTCAGGATTTGCGGTTCCTGACCCAATATGCATTGTTGGTTAGGATTGAGGGTTTCCTGACCCAACATGCATCGTTAGTCAGGCTGCAGGGTTTCCTGACTAACTATGCATTACACATCAGGCTTCAGGGTTTCCTGACCCCTGTTGCATTCACAATCAGAATTTAGGGTTTCCTGACTCAATATGAATCAATAGTCAGGCTGCAGGGTTTCCTGACTAACTATGCATTACACATCAGGATTTAGGGTTTCCTGACCCATGCGCCCTGTGTATTTGGGTTAAGGTGTACAAAAGAGGGGTCGTGGGGCAGATTTGGCTGTAGGGTTCCCACTGCCCACCGGGGTGTTTAGGAATTTGGGCAAGGGGTCGGCCAAGGGAACGACGAGCTTCTGTATTCGTGCACGGTGGTGGTGAGCGGTGCCAGGAGGGGTTTCAGGGTTTTAGGTGGGAGTCCGATACCAGAATGGACGGCCTAGGATGACTCAAATATCATCGGACGGACCAGGTCCGGGGTTTTTCCGCACTGACCGAAGTGAGATACAACGTCCGTGTCCGATTCTACCTAATTATGGCCATCCGAACCCTAGTACTACCTACAACCTACTCGGACTTCTTTCCGGCGCCAAGTTGAAGAAGTCTCTAGGGAAGAGAGGGTGTCATGCTCTCTGGCGCCAGAAAGTTGTTGAGGAAGGAGCCGGTTAGGTGTGCGCCTTCTCTTTGCACTCTTTCCTTCTAGCACTGGTAAAGAGATGGCTGCCGTGAGATCGCTACGTCTGTACAGGGGTAGGTGTACCGACTTTGAAGTCGGTGCCAATGACAGGATTTCAAGCGTGCTTGAGTGACATTTTGTCGACAGACGAGTATCGCGGAGATCTGGTTGTGCTGTTCAACGAGGAGAGGTCCCTGCGTTCCCACGAAGTGCCCAACGAATTGCGGGTGGGAGGGAAGTCATGGGTGGCACTTTCTGAAGATCATGCACTTCAAGATGTGCAGACGCGGCTTGCGGATCTGGAGCTCCAGTTTCACAGGCTGGAGCAAACCTCCCACGATGATGCCCTCACGTTCGGCAGGCCCCTGATCCAAAACCTTGCAGCACAGCTTCTCTTGTTTGCGCTTGGACGACAGCCACAGGCAGCGCCCCAAGGCACCCCATTTCTGCGGTTGGCTATGGATGGAGACGCACGACTGCAAGATTTTGTTCAACGCTCTGCAGGCTTAGCTGAAACCTCCTTTGCAAGGATGGCCGACACAGTGATCAGCAGACGGAATGCTACCATTCACTTCTCTGACTATGAATCGCTGAAGATGGCGGTGAACGAACTCCTAGAACTGGCTCGCCGCCATCCCAACTTGAGAGCCAACTGCAAGCAGGAATTTGTGGTTTTCGATCACCTGGAGGAGTTGGCAGCGAGCTTTGGCCTGGAACCCGTGGGTAATCATTAGGGTGAGTATGGCTCTGGCTTCCAAACCCTGCGATTACGAGTCAGATTGTCATGTATACTGTGGTTAGGAGGGCTTTTTTCCAATCTGCATGCCACAGAGCTGTGGTTTCTTCCAATCTGCACGCTGTAGAGCTCCCTTCCTGAGATTTTAGGTTTGGTAGGGTTGCATCAGAATGGAGAGTCCGCATCTGCATCCTCTATTTTCAAGTGTGCAAGCAGATGAAATGATTGCTTCGGTGGCGTGCAACTTCGCATCTGTCAGCAGGAACAATCTTGCTTTTTGTGGAGGCTTAGGTAAGTTGACAATCCACACAGCAACTGGGTTTGTATCATGACAACTCCTCACCACCATTGAACAATCTGTTGTTGCCAATGCAGATCAACTGCGGAGGGATGGGACAGCATACACTTACATACATGGGAGCAGTTTTAGAGTCACTGCTATAGTGTCACTGAGGGAATCCCGGCACCTAAGAATCTGAACGGAAAGAGCTAAGAGCCTTCCTTCCTATATAGACGCACCCGACGGTGAACTAAAGCGACCCACTTCTCCTAGAACGTGCGCCCTAAATAGACACGAACCTAAAGTGCGTAAATTGGCGGGCAAAAATTCTGCCCGTTTTGTTACAATATGCAACGCCTGCAGGAAATCCTTTCCGACCTGAGGGAGCAACACTTGCGATTCATTGACCGACTTGTGGATCTGAGATTTGAGACCTTGAGAAACGCTCTCGGTTGGAAATGCAAGGAGTGTTCGTATCAGATTCAGCCCTTTGACATCTCCACCTATGTCAGCCCAATCGATGCATACTTGTGCAGTCCAGAAGAAGCAGATATGATGAGTGCCCCGATTGCACAGAAGACGGTTGACAAGTTGCAAATGATGATCAACAGCATAAAAGCTTTAATGTCGTTGGAAGTAGCAGGGTATTGCACATCATGTGGCATGGAACTTGCTTGAATTGCGGGACAATTTATGCGGCTTTGTACAACCGTACTGAGACTTGACCGTTGGCTCCTTATCGACCACAGAATCGATTGCCTTCTCGATCGAGGCGAACCTCCGCGCATTCACGGTGACGACGGACAGCGACTGTTGCTATAACTTTGGGGGTTATCGACCGAATCTTTCCATAGTTGACCCCTTTTCCAGCCATTTTGTCACATTAACCCGCTTTTACTACCCAGTTAAGCCACATAAACTGCCACTTTTGCGTACCAAGACCGTCATGGAGAGTGCAAAATGACGCATTCTGTATATGCCGTCATGACAACAGGCGCGTGACCTTATCTACAGAGCGCATCATGTACGTGTCACGATGACCCTATCTGCAGAAGGCATCATAGGAATCTCGCATTGACCCTATCTGCAGAAGGCATCATGGGGACCTTGCAATGACCCTATCTGCAGAAAGCGTCACGAAAGCTTCGCAATGACGTCATCTGGAGAGGGCATCATGGAAGGTGGTCAAATGACACACACTACAGCGACACGTGTCAGGTGTTCACGGCTCTGGGCCTCAGAACGCCCATCTTTTCAGCCGCCTTCCTGTGTGCCCAGACCTCTCTATGCTCGATCCTCTCAAGCCTAGTCAACTGTGCTACCATCCAGGCCTCTCTGGCTGCGACGTAACTCTGATTTGCATTCTCCTGCTCTGCGTCTTCAGACTCACATCGTGTCAAACCTCCTCCTGACGGCTGACCAAGGAAGTAGCAGCTGTCCAGCAGCTCGGTAAATCTGCGGTTCATAGGCACCCACACCACCTCTTCATACCTGGAAAAAAAGCACCAAAGGAGAGCGTCACTAAACAGCTAGATTATTCAACACAAAGGCAGCAGGAGCTCGGTACCGGTGCATGAAAGATTCAGCATAGCACCAGCATACTGCGGTGCTTACCATTCTCTGGATCCCGCGTCCAACTCCAACCCAGCATGCTCCACGTAAGCCTTCAGTGCTACTTCTGTGATGTTGGATGGGTTCACGGTATTTTCAACGTGAGCCAGCATTCCGAGCATCGTGAACTTGTGCCTCGCCAGACGCCAAAGAGTGTGACTGCATCCTGAGTTCGCATCCAGGTGACCTGGAAATTCAGAGATGGCATCCGCAATAAAGTGCATGACCCCAGGCAACACGAAAGAAGGCTTGCTCATCTCTGTGTTTGTTACAGGGGAACTGGATATCGAATGCTTCTCTGAACTTCTGGGTGAGCTTGGTCATCTTGCTGGCTTCCTCTATCGCCTTCATGGCGTCAGGGCCTTTCTTGGCAACGTATCTTGCCTGCCTCGCAGCGTGCTTCGCTCTCTTTTCTTCTTCTGAGACAGTGACGATCCTACCCGTTTTCAGCGTCGGCAACGGGCCGGGAATATCATGCTGCTCCAGGCGATGCGTCTCGAGTAGGTGCTTCTTCTTACACGAGAATTGCTCGTTGCACACCCTCCCTCCATTCAACAGCAGCTTACATATCCAGATGTCCCCACATCTCACGAAGCCAGCTTCCTCGGGCGACTGCCTCGCCATCATTTTCTGCGCGCTTTCTCACAATGAGAATACTCTTGGAAGTTCGGTTCTGCCAAAGTTCGAAATCTAGATCTCAACGGTTATATTCTCTTCACGTTGAATCGGCATCGACGGTCAAAGAAGCACTGTTTTCTGATTATCCGCGTTCCGTCTCTCAAAACATTCCACTCAGTTGTCGTTAGAAGAACGCCCAATGGACACCCTCCTCTCGCCCGAGGAACTCGTGGTAGACCCCATCAAGGGCTACCCTTCTGGCTACAGCAGATTGTCACGCCTATGCGCTCTCCAGTCCGGTAATGAGACCAGAATCGCACCAAGGGGGCCTCCTTTCGCATGGACCGCAGTCGATGACCCAAAGATCAGGGCGGTGGTTCAGACAGTCGAATGTCAGTTTCCATTCCTATCTGAAGCAGCTAGGGATCGTAGCAGTGTGGTGGGGTTTGAGAGCAGCCTGTGGATCCAACTGAGTATTCCCAATACAATCAACCAGCCAAAGTCTGATTGATTTTACGGTTGCTGTGGTGCTTTTTCACCTTGCTTACCACCCTAAAACGTCTGAGGAGAATGGGTGACAGACTCTGAAGCGGGTCCAGGGGAACTCATATCCAGTCATAACGCAACCTGCTTAGCGCGGACCCAAACATCAAGGAAGAAAAATGACACTCTTTCCGCTTCTGCAAGAGTCACTGCGGTCCAATCAAACGCAAGTGTCAAGAGTGCCACCGCTCTTTGCACCAACGCCAAATTGGCGGTGCCATGCAGCAGTGCTGAACCTGGGGACTGTCTTGAGCAGCGGTCTCTGAGAATTTGAGATGAAAGCTTCTTTCAACAGCAACGCAGCAAATGCTAGAACTCACAATTCCTCAGAATGCCAGAACACCGCGGCTCTTCAGCGTCTCCAGTTGCATTGCTCAGATGAGGCTTCGCTTCATGAGCTCAAGGACTGCATCACGCCATTGGCAAACAAAGATGGTGTTCAGTGGAACAAATTTTCTGCAAATGAGGGCTCAATTCTGCGGTTGGAGACCAAGACCCCTGGGAAGAAGATGGACGCGATACAAGATGCTAGCAACACAGGGGCATACCGAAAAACTGGAAAAGCAAACAGTGGGGGAAGGTTGGCTGCAGCTTTCCAGAGTGCATCAAATCTGCAGATGCCTTGGGAGCGCAGATGGCAGGCGCTGGGTTCAAGGTGACTGTTGAAGCACTCTCGTGTGGTTTTGTCTTGTATTTAAATGCGTTCGGCACTTTCAATATACTCTGCTTGTAACACTGCTGTTCTGGTTGGCTCTCTGCTAAGTTGGCAGAAGCTCTCATTGACATTCGAGGGGTCCTCCCCAGAAAAGGTCTATCAGAAAGGGCTTTATTTCAGGGGGGCCACAGATGGAGATAACATAGTCTGCGTCAGTTGGTCTTCCTTCCTTCCAGAGAAGGAAGGCTTATCGTGGCCTCCACCGGGTCCGCGCTAGAGCCCAAATGTATGTCCAGGTCCCTGGACAATGAATCTTTTCCAATTGTTTCTTATCAGATATATGCTTCCTGTACGTGTGCTTTTTCTCTCTGGTAGCATCAATTCTCAGATTTGAATTCAGCTTTTGAGACATTTTACGCTCTTCCAATTGAAGACGTTCCAGAAGACTAACAAATTTGCTCGCTGTCCTGAGCTCCTGGGCCACATATGAGATCCCCTATCTCCCTGGCCCAGATGTCGCAACAACTTCTAATGCAAGGGATGGTTGAGCAAGCTTGTCTTTGCCCCAAGGTCTCTTCTCGCAACAGAACGTCTCTCTTCTTGTGGACCAAAGCCAGTGAGCCTCTCGTTTTCTCAACAGATCCCTCTCTTCTTCAGAGGCTCACACGAAGACTGTTCTCGGCGTCAATGTGATCCACTCACTTCATCTTTCCTCTTTGCAGGAGCACAGTCCACAAGCCCTATGGTCATGGCGTTGACTCATCCATGTGGAACTCCCTTGACCACACCACCGTTCTCTACGGCCTCATTGCAGCAAATATCAGTGTGTGGTTCCTGTGGCAGAGTCCCGAGCGGCGCGAATTCATGGAGAAGCACTTCCAGGTATGTCTCTCCTTTCAGGCCCAGCATTTCATGCGCATGAATATCACGTCGATTCCGGTTTCTTTGAGGTACATCATTGCCTAAAGTATGGGTGAGTGCAGTCTGGGGCTTTCAAGTGGAACGTGTAGAGCACACCAATTGTGACTGTCGGATCGTAGTTTCTACCTACCCGAAGCTCTCATGCAACTCAAGTCAAATCTGATTCAATGCAAGACCGGCAATCATTAGCACTCCCCTTAGTCCCTTGCAATCACAACGCTCTTGACTGAAGGGCTTGCGGAGGCCTTGCTTGACTCGCTGACGTGTCAAACAACCGAGGTGACTAATACGAAACTCTTCTGAATGCACTTTGTACAACAGAGATTGGCATTCTTTTTGATTTGCAGGTCTGCCATCAACTGCTGAGCTGACCTCATCAAATGCTCCTCAAGCTCATGTGACCACCAAGTCAAGATTGACATGCCTGCCAGAACTACCTGCCCCCAATGACCCAGTCTTAGTCGTGTCACAAGGATTCTCAAAACCTCATCTCCATCTCGTGGGTGTCGTTTACGTTCCTCAAGAACGGCCAAGACCACGCCGCAAATGTCATCCACTCAAACGCATGCCCACGGAACTCTCCTCCCTCGACCAGATTTGCTTTCAGCGAGGTTTAAACCTCATATAAGCACACATTCAGAGATCCTCACGTTCGATCGCTGGACGGAAATCCGTGATTTGGTACAGGTTTCGGTCGCGTCGATAGAGGATCGCCGGGAGCACACGGCCGTGACCGCCAACTTCAGCCACTCTGACGCGGGCCACCTGGCGCTCAACATGCTTGCGCTCCACTCCTTCGGGCGTATGGTAGGTTTCTCCTCACGACCGACTTGCATGATTTCTGCACTGCTCCTTTGAGGATCAGAGGCGTGCTAGTGCCACGACTCCGTTTACTGCTTTCTCTGGTTTGTTTCTTGCTTCGGGGCGTTTCGGTAGGCGTGCAATTCACGACGCTTTCGGATGTTCCCTCCTGCTCGTAATTGGTTTTTGGACTTTACGCTTGGCAGATGGGTAGACTTGGCACTGACAGCGCTTCGAGAGAAGCGTTGTTTCATTGCTTCCAATTAAAGCGCTGGTTTCGTCCGAGTCTAAGTCCATTCTGTGCGAGAACGACAAGGTGTCTAGGATAAGCGAAGGAGAGGAAACCTATTCCTGGGAGTAACAGAGCGTCCGACTACTTTGAAAGCCCTCGATTACTGCACCAGAGTTGAAAGCGCTGGGCATTTCGGGTGCTTCTGAAGGCTTTGCAGATCCTCCCGCATCACCGATCACTGATTTCATTCTTAGCAGATCACAACGGATTCAAGAACATACCCGAAAATTGAATCTTGACGACTCTGTTGTAGATTGGACACCCCCGGCTCTTCGGCGGGGGGGGTCTCCTGGCCCTGTACCTGGCGGGGGGGCTCGGCTGCGTGGCGGGGCACTGCCTGTACTGGTCGTACTTCGTGCCGTGGAAGCAGGTGAGATTGTCCTCTACTTTCCGAATTAGCTTGGGCATTATGAGGAAAGCGCGAAACTTCGTCGACGAGGACAAAAGCTGTGAACTGTTTGCTGTTTTGTACGAAGTCCTGGCCAGATGCCTGGCCCGAGGAAGCGCTGCGAGCTTTCACATTTGCAAATCTGCTCGAAAATGAAGTTTTGCTGAGCTTTTGCTTGTTTGCCACACGAATCGATTTGTCAATTGGCCTTGTCAAAGCACAAGCAAGAAGTTCCGACGGCTTTCGGAGGGCTAGGCTTGGAAGTGTACGGAAGAGGAAAAGCGCACAGGAAAGAAAAGGAGACAGTCTGAGCCGATGCTTTTCTTGACGGTTCAACCTGCTGCTTGAACTACCCGGTTTCCAGGGTATTGACGGCGTGAGTACAAGCAGCATTACATCCGGATACCAAGCTTCTTTGCATATCCGGTAACCTGCTGCCTATTCCCGAGGGTTTTGCGGCTTCCACGGCACTAACTGGCTTCGGACAAACCGCATGACACCCTAATGCGAACCTTCCTTTCACATCGGGTTAATCTGCTGCCTAACCCGAGGATTTTGCGGATCCCACCGGGCATCATCCGGTCTTGCGCACAATCAGCATGACACCCCGATACAAACCTTCCTCTTATAACCGATTGACCTGCTGCCTAACCCGAGGGTTCTGCGGGTTTAATGAATCAATCGGCGTGCGGACAATCAGCATGACATCCTGACATAAAGCTTCCTCTCATATTCGGTTTATTTGCTGCCTAACCCGCGGCTTTCGCCTTTCCAGGACATGGAAGGGCGTGCGTACAGTCGCATAACAGCCCACGACACAAACCTTCTTTCTCTACCCGGTATCTAACCAGAGGTTTTTGCGTTAACCAGGGCGTTGACCGGCGTGCGTACAACGCTCGCCGTACGCCGTCGGCTCTCGGCGCGAGCGGCTCCGTCAGCGCCCTCCTGACGTGCAGCATTCTGCTCAACCCGTCGCAGAAGCTCCTCGTTTACGGCCTCCCAGTCCCGGCGTGGTTGTATGTGAGCGCTGGTATTCTATATTCTCAAAACCTCATCATTTGAATCCCTAAAGCGAAAACTCGGATCCGGTATGCAGATGGATAGTTGGACCCTCCTCGTCTACGGCTTCTCAGTACCGGCAGAATTACATTTGAGCGCCCAAACCCTATGTCCCAGATGATATGAGTCAACTTCTCTAGAACGTCAAAAGCGTACCAGATGTCTTTGATGCGGTATCAAAACTAGAGAAACCACGTTTGCGGCTTCCCAGGCGATCCCTGCATGGTTGTATGTGAGCGCTGAAAAGCTAGATTCCGAGATCTCTGAAGCCGAAAGACCTGGAAGGTCGAAGCGTATCCAGGTAACTCGAATCCGCTTTCAAAACTGATACGCAGAACCTCCTCGTTTGCGGCTTCCGAGTCTTGGGCATGGTTGTGTGTGAGCGCTGTACTCCTGGATCCCCGAAGCTTTTATCTCGGTAAATCTGGAAGCTCGAAAGCGTAAACGGTAGATTCCGCGATCTGTGTCTGTCAAAGCTGATCCATGTTGGAGACTTGGCCTTCACAAATTGCGTTTTATCCGTTGGCACAATTCGACGCCTCCACCGCAGTTTGTTCGAAGTCCTGACTGCATCAGATGCTCTTTCAATTCGAAAAATCGGTTGAGCTTTCGTAACCCTCTTTCTTCCACGGGTTACACTCGCTTTGGCGGAGCGTGCTGGTAAAGGTATGCTGTGGCATCTCTTGAATTCTGCTTGTTACGCACGGAAGATGCTACTGATCATACAGCTTCTTCTGCCTTACGCCTGTCTCTTCTATCCTCGGCAGGGTATCTTCGTGACAGCCTTGGATTTGTCGGGCGCTATTGGGGTGGTGAGTTGCCCTTCCTTCAGAAACCAACTTTACTGCATGTTCTCTCCTCGTACATTAATGCATCATTTCCAACTCCCCAAAAGGTTAGGCATCGGGCATCCTTCGTCGGAGACTAATTTCTGGTCATGCAAAAACGCATTGACGAGAAGCGGGAGGTCATCCCATTGCTCTGGACCTGAACGCACGTTTCAGGTCTGACCGTGCATTTTCCCCATGCTCTCTTGTATGAACGTCCTTGTGATAACGATACTTTTGAGAGCAGTCTGATGAGGGTACCAACCCCTGCCTCTATCGATCTGTTTCACAGAACCACGGGAGCCGCATCGGATACGCTGGCCACTTGGGCGGTGCTGCCGTCGGCGCTGCCGCATGGCTTCTTTTCCGGCGCTGTTCGTGAGATGATGGGCAGCCGGTTCAAAATCGTAAATTAAACCACTCTTTGTTACGTGATTGTCAAGACCAAAGGGTTGTTGACCGTGTATAATAACATGCCTGTACCATATAAACCCTGTAAGGATGGCACTTTCTGGTGTAGATGTCTTGTAGATGAAGGTTGAGAAACTGACTGTGAGGCAGGATACACAGGTCACTGCATGGATAGAACGTCTCAGAAGTACTTGTGTGAAACCGTTTACTCTGGCAAACTGAGTTGGCAGGCTGACAAATTGACCTCTGTAAAGCTATTACGCTGCTGATTTACGGCATCCTACTCGATTTCTTAGACAAGCTCGCGCTCAATCGTGCAACCAATCCATCGTACGGCCTGGCAAATTCGTATCACCCGTGCCGACAGGTGCAGATCTAGCTCTGCATGCGCGCCAGTCGATAATTGAAAATATGGCTGCGGTCAGATTCAAGATAAAGCTGACCGCATCCATGGCCGGGCCGCGCGGGCTCATTCAGTTTATACAGTTTCGAACAAAAGTATATCCGACATGCTGCTGAGTCAACTGGCATATGCGGTGCATGAACTTGCGCGCGACCATTTATATCCTTGATCTAATTTCTGGCACGGTACATTCAATACTAATTAGCCTGCTCATGCCGCCATTCCCCCTTGTTCTACAGTCGGCGGCCGCGGCGCTAGCTGAGTCACGTACTATATTTGATACTAATGTGCAATCTATAGCAATGATGCACTTCAGGACTCGAGCCAAATCATGTGCAACATACATGTTTTCGCAAAACTCACCTGGTTGAACGGCGACCTTCATGTATTGCATCTTCCTCAATGCAAGATCCGATCTAGACGGATGTCATAGTGCCATACCGTCGGAAGACAGGCTATCATCACCCTCTAGCTTCGTAACTTACGCTGCCATGCGGCGCAGTGGTCAACCCAATACTTAAATGCTTTGATTGCTTATAACCACATATTAATATAAGAGGTTGGACTGTCTTTGTAGTCTAAGGTACCTTGGTGTACGTACAGCGATATTTACTGGTGCTAATGTAGCCAGCTCAACCTTTCTGTTCGCCCAATAAACATGCAAGACTAGAAGCCTCCTGCCGAGTGCACTCTTACCAGTTGATGACTTGGTTTTACTAGATAAGCTGGGCTCTTGAGGACAGATTGAAGTTGCATGAGCAAAAGATAAACTTTCTTCGTGTTGTAAATCTTATACTTGCATTTCATCAACTTAAGCTGGTCGTTTAGAAAACCTTCATCTGGACCAGCAAGGACTAGACCTATCCGTGTTTTGAAGCTTTATAGCTTTGAGTATAGTAAGCATTCAAGTCTTACTCCACTTGTCAAGCCCAATCACCGGTCAGCTTCGCCCCTTTAACGAAGCAAAAGCTGCTTGCCATTGTGGCGTAACAAAGGCTTGCATCACATTCTTCGGTCGTATGTATGTGCTTCCCACAAGAATTTCCCTTGCGAGAGCCGATGCAAAGTCGGTGCTGAAGTGGATGTTGTCCCAGTATACATGCCTACCCGGATCTTTGCAAACCGTGGCTTCGAGGGAAGCGCATTCTATGTCGTTGTTCGCAGGGCCCCCCGCACCGCAGCAGGCTCTGCGGGCCTCCGGGAAACCTGTCCACAACGCGCATCCACATGTTAACCATGATTCAGTACGTATGAACCACGGTTTAAGCACGTAGTAACCAGGTCGGTCGTCTCCCTAACCTCCTGAATCCTCTTCCTTGACCACAGTCTTTCAGGCTTACATCATCTTGGATTGTTACACGGAAACTTGAAGACTTTGTCTTCGTAGACCCGGAACTATTTCGATGTTTGGCACAATGGAAATCGACCGGACTGAAGTCTGGGCTCACAAAGCAAGGGTTGGACCATTTGACTTGCATCTGAAAACCCGGACGGAAGCTTTGACTTGAGAACTGTTCGAGCAATTCCGCAAGCAATTAGATTGAAGTTTCGACTAATGGCAGACGAGTCACGATCATCGTGTCCGTCAATCAAACCAAGGGCTGAGTAAACCGTCATTAAAGCACGCAAGATTGACTCATCCGATATATGCTGCTCAAGGTTTTTTTGATGGAGTTCGACGCTTCAGCGCTAGAGTTTTCGTTCGATGATCCAGCCGCACCGTCAATAAGCTAACGACCGCACAAACCGGGCACCAAACAGTTTTCTCTAAACAATATCGAAGCGCTTGCTGACATGACCGCACTATGAGAGCAAACAAAGCAAGAAGATGTTCGACTCTTTAGATCGGCTTTCACAGACCATGTCTCAACACCGCAACTCAGCAATTGCTAAACGCAAAGGGCCCTCAGATGGTGGCAACTTCTGTTTTTTCCAAATGAATCTGACGTTCGAAAGCACGACGTCGAGGGCGGTGGCGATCTCTGGTCTTTTCAATCGGAGTCGCCCGTTCGAAAACACGTCGAAAGCGCGGAGCAGCTCACCCAGCGGCCGCGCGTTCGACGAGTTGGTCCGTGTCAAATTGTACAAGTCGAGGTACAGAAACGTGGCGCCCGGTAGCTCCGTTTGCAGAGAGGCCAACAGAGATCGGTAGGCTTCCCCGAGCGCTGACGAGATGGCTTCTTCCAAGTTGGCGCAAAACCCTCTGGTGCTGTTGATCGAGTACGGGATGCACCCAAAGTCGATGGGGCTGGCCACGACAAAGTTGCGGCCGCCAAGACTGTAGATGGTCTGCAATAGAGGGTGCGTTCTCCTTTGCGTTCTTGCGGCTAAAATAATTTTAACATTCCACCCAAAGGAAGAAAGGAGCCTGTCTAGTTAAGGTCATCCCTCAAAAACCGATTAAAAGAAAGTTCCCGGGTTTCTTTCAAGCCTTCCGTCATGTTATACCTATACGACAGCTCTTTTCTCTGATCCTCTGGCAGTGGATCTTAAATGGAGAAGAAAAAGGACGCAGACAATCAATTCTAGATTAAAACGGAAGCCTCGCTTCGCCGAAACGAGGGTGAGAGCAGAGCCTGAAACACCAGTCAGTCTCAGCAGCGCTCGCTTTGTCAGCGCGCTTGCATGAGTTCTCAGACAACTACTCTCCGCCGTAACGTATGCTCTTCCATTTTTCTCCAATGCGAACCTAAGTTACTCATCCACAATACAGGCACCGGTCAAGGAGATGCGCACCTCCAGTCCACGTTCTAGAAACTTCAGCCGTTATCAATGTTATGGTTTAACAGGCGCAGACACGAAAACCGAAATTTCCTTTGTCCTTATTCTGCCAAAATCACGCCAAGCGTTGGCAGAAAACAGACGGTTACTGACCTGAAGCGTGGACTGCAGAGACGCTGCCACGTCGCTCACAGTAATTGTGTTCTTTTGGATGGGAACCACGTCATTTGCCCCGATCACAACCAGGTACAAACCGCCCGCGAACGATTCCGGTTTTGGGTACCGGGGCAAAACGGAAAGCTCCGCAGGGAAGCCAGACTGTTGGACGTTCCGCCAGTAGAGCGTCGCGTCGCTCACGAAGTTTTTGAACGCCGTGGTCTGCGAAGAGAGCGTTTTTGGATGATGTTTCTTAAGATTCTGGGGGTTTGGTTTTAGACCCAGTCTGGTTAAGGTTAGGGTTGAGGCTTAGGGCCTGCGTTGGGGTTCAACCTGCTGGACGATCGGCAGTAGAGCGTCCTGTTCTGACGGAGTTCTCCAAATATGCCGTTGTCTGCAGAGAGAGGGTTTTGGGTTGTGGTTTGCAGGCTTTCCATGCAGGCGTTGGGGTATGAAGTGGGTTATGGTTAGGGTTTAGAGCCTGGGTTAGGTTTGGGTTTACACTTTTGGAAATTGCGCCAGGAGAGCGTCGCGTTGCTGACGAAGTTGTCAAACGCCAAGGTCTGCAGAGGAAGCTCAAAAGGAGAAAATACGTCAACATAGCCGGTTATCAGAAGCACTTCTACCAGACGAAGCTGGTTAGAAGCTGGTTAGAGACCTCTTCTGAATAAGGGGAAAGAGCAACGGAGGATACAAGGGAACGACGAGGAAATCGCAATACGGGAGGACGATGAAAAGGTCCAGATGTTATGACGTATGAAATTCACATGCTCCGGATTAAGTCAAGTATAAATTTGCGATGCAAGGTCGGTAGGGAGGGTTGCAAAATAAAGGGAGATACTTTCTCAGAGGCTCTGAACGCAGATATCGAGATTGATAATTTTGCTAAAAAGAGGACGGGAAAGAGGAAAGAGGACGGTTCCTAAGCAAAAGGAGGATCATTTTGCCGAGCAAAAAGTTGATTTCGCGCGCTGTAGATTTGAAGTCCTTTCTGAAAGCACGTTTCCGAAATTCGTCCCTCAAAAGGCAACGTCTTCAAGTACGAAGAGAAGATCTTTTAGATTGTTTCCCGGAAGTGAAGACTCCTTAGAAACAGGCGGCTGCTCTGGCGCTGACGAAACTCTCAGAACTCATCTTAACCCGTTTGCTAACCTGGTCCGGCAAGGGTCCCGGATTGGTGCTCCGTATCGCACCGCTCCCGGAGAAAGCGAAGTTACATCCGTAGTACCAGGTCGCGTTCGGCTCGAAGAAAGGCGTGGAAAGAGCTGACAGGCCCAGCATTTGGGACAAGTAGTCGGACAAGATCAGGCCGTTTGAGAAGCGGCCACTGCAAGAGAAAAGAGGACACTCTCCTAGACTAGTCGTAATGGCTCATAAAACTGCAAGAACGAGGTTATTACCAAGACCCTAAACCGGTAGTACAGAGTATTTATGCGCTCTGTACTACCGGTCCCCATACTAAACCCCCTTACTAACCACACCCGTCCCAGGCAGGTTCTCTTCTCATCTCCTGGGCGTAGAATCGATCCAGAATAGGCTCCTTGAGCTGTCAGAGCGGTGGCTTTGCTTTCGAGTAGCACAAATTGGAAGGGGGATGAAAAGCGCCTTGAACACAAGCGGGACCCTTTGCTAGCAAACAAGAAGAAAGCGAGAGCGTCACAATGTCAGCACATCCGATTTGGCAACACGGAATGCTGCTGAGACGTGCGAGGGAAAATTCTCCGATGAGGTCGACGAGACCTGCACTGCTTCAGGAGCGAAGAGTGGAGAGGCATGATCCACAGAGGGCGACACTCAGAGGCGGGTATAGACTATTTCTAAGGCAACATAGGCTGTTGAACGGCCCCTGCAGACAAGAAGAGACAGTCTGACACGAGGGTTCTCAAGGGGAGGCCTTCACTGGAGTCCCATGTATCCGAGGCACAAGAAGCCGTTGATCAACCTCGATTGATTTCTTTGTTATCAACCTACAAAGGCTAGCTCACCCTATGACGTAGTTGGTGCGGGGGCCGTGACCGTATGGAAAGGGGGTGCCCTGCTTGACGAAAAGGTTCCTGTAGAGATACGTATTACTTGCTTATTGACCAGTGTAGAGATGGCCAAAGAAGGGACGTATATAAAACTCTCTGAGAGCAGCAAGCCAGTTGCGGATTGAAATTGGTCAAGGGTCTCAATTCTCAGACACGGTTTCAGCAACTAAATTACAGTGGCTAAATTACAGTGCATTGCAACGGGTGTGAACGAAAGCGACAACATACAGGGAGTCTTACGTACTTATCAATCAGAAGCGACTATCCACGTGCTAAGGTTTTCTCACATGCACATTATTGGCAGAAGCAAACAGCATGATGTCACTGTTTCGAAACAGTGCCTGATTGCTCACTCACAGGTTTCCTGTATCGACAAAGGAGTCACCTGCAAAGGGGTATTGGAGCTGCTATCAGTACTGGGCAGTTGAAAATTGTCTGCCCATGTGGTCCTTTGTCACGTCAGTGTATTCTGAACATGAGGAACCCTTTTGCAGGTCCTGCATAGAAGCTCCAGAGTCTCTTCTTGTCATGCCAAAGTAGCAGACCCTCGAGACCCCAAGTCCTGGGCAATTCCCCCCGCAATTCAGCTCACTCATTTTGCCACTAGCTCTCCTCAAACCGGCGCCATCAATCAGCATCTGAATCAAGATAGGATTCACAGACTTTCGCCATAGGGCTCACCAAAGACAAAAAGAGCAGGCATGAATGGGTAGGCACTGCTCAGGTCGCCGGGAGAGGGGGCGGGAGCAACGCTGGGGTTTGCAGCAAGGATTTGGATCTCTCTCATGAGCTGACTGTTTCTGCTATGTGCTGCTGAAGTGTAAATAAGCCCAGACAGGGAGCAGAGCAGCAGGAGGAGCTGCCAAGCCCATGTGTGGGCCCCTCTTTTGCCCCCCGTCATGCTGACATCAGCAGTTGTGGAAGCTGCTGCCTGCCAGAGGGGACGGGAAAGTTGTCAGGTGTGAAAGGCTTTCTTCCGCGTTTGCATGTCTCAGGATCTATCGAGGTCTTCAAATCATAATGTGCTTTGCTTGGGTTTGATTGGAGACGAAAAGATTGGCCTCAATCGGGTTGTGTCTGATCAAGGTGGTCCAGCAAGTGTTCAATGCAGATCTTAATGCAGCTGGACTACACTGAAGGAACACTCAGTCCCATGCTTTCTTTTACTGATTTTAAACCTGATGGGAAATGCTGATTGAAGCAAAAAACTTGGTTGAATTTTGTAGCAAAGCATTGAAGGTCAGAAGGTGCAGGTACACGATCCAGAATTCGAATCGAAACACTGTGAGTTTGCCCTGAAGTAGTATTCGACAAAGAGCCTCACTTCTTCGTCGCATACCGGGGAAGACATAGTGGCCGCACGCTCAGGTCTTTGAAGAAGGGGATCCCCGAGATTGAGGTGGAGCCCAGTCCAAGCGGCCTACTTTGGAGGCGCCTGAGTGCTCAACAGGTGCTCTTTGCGATACCTCGATCCATGTCCCTGCCGCGAGCTCAATGTGGAAGACCATAAGCATTTGATGCACAACTTCCCAAGATGCGCCACCACCAATGTTACTAACTTATTGCAGCTAGTCTTGCTAGCTTAGCAAGAGACAACACCAAGCTGAACAGCAGGCATTTCCGAAAGCAGCACAGTCTTTTCTCTCTCTGTCAAATTGCAGAGGCAACGCTGCCACGTCTGTAGCTGCCCCAGGGCCACGGGCCACCGCCATGAAACACGTACTGGTTACTGTACTGGTAGGTAGTCTCTTGATCAAGAGCGCCCCCTGTACTGACATTACTGACATTTTAGGAACAGTCACTGCACAGTGCAGTGGCATCATCGAAGTCTCATGATTGATGAAATCATGCGTGCAAGATCCAGTCCGGCCTTGCCATGAAGCGGCAACCTGGACCGGGTCGGCAAAGAAGGGACGTGATACACCGGTGCCGACGGCATCCCACCGGTTGTTAAAACCGGGAGAGATAGCCAGGCGCCCAGGCCAAATCTGTGCCCGGCCCTCTTTTCCCGCCTGGTCAGGGGGTAAAAATGCCGGGGGGCCGGTAGGAAGCGGGCACCGGTGATCGATCGGATTGAAAGCTGGTGGCCATAATGCACCGGTGGCAATTATGCAGCTCGCAAACAGATATACAGTAGCTAGGTACTTAGTAGGTAGGTCGCATGCAGCATGGGGAAAGCGTGCCAGCTGGGAGCCAGGGAGGCACATAGCTGAGTACACACGCACTTTTGTCAGTACGTACCGTTTAACGTGGTAGCATGACGAACGTGTCAAGTTCCAGAGTACCTAGACTTCCAGGCACGCTTGCAACTGAGCGCTCAGCGCTCAGGAGTCAGGAGTCAGCTTTCATGACAAACGTTAACAAGTACGTACTTAAATTACCGTAAGTAGTCACGTTCGATATGGGCTTTGACCAGGTTTGGATCACCCTAAATCGCTGATGGTATACCTACTATACGTTGTCAATGTCAGCTAGGCCCTTGACGTATGCATGTTCTCATGTCAGCTAGATCCGCCGACGATCTTACTTTATTTTAGCAATATTATGACTGCAGTGATCCTTACATGGGAATGGCAGACTGGAAGCCTGCCATACCTGCACCAAACAGCTCATGCCCAGCTAGTGCGCCAGTCTTGATAGGAGGGTCGAGTTAGCATAAGCGCTCGACCCTTCTGACACTGGTTTTAGATTGGTAGTTTGTAGAAGAATTTACGGCACCGCCAACAATGAAAGCCGTTTCATTGAGCTTGAATGGCATGACACAGATCCTGTGCATGTGCTCCTGGAGATTGATGGGGAAAGTTAAAGATTGAGGAGTTGGGACCCAATTAAAGTACCATAATCACCTGTAACTTATCAGTTCAAACCTTTCCGTTCGTTTGTTAATCAGGAGTAGAGACATCCTGCTGACTCAGTCGTCACCAGTTACCTGAGGATAACTTAAGCTGGTCACCTCCTGGTCACCTAGGAGAACGCTAATTTGGACCAGCAAGGACTAGGCCTAATTGCGTTTCGAGGCTTGCAGCCCTGAGAGCATAAGGATTAATTGAGATTAAAGCACTGTTAAGTCAGTTCACCAGTCAAATTCGCCCTTCTAATGATGCGAAAGTTGCTTCCAATTGTGGCAGCACAAAGGCTTGCATCACATTCTTCGGTCGTATGTATGTATTCCCCGCAAATATCTCCCTCGCCAGAGCCGATGCGAAGTCGGTGCTGAAATGAATGTTGTCCCAGTATACATGCCTCCCTGGGTCTATGCACGACGTGGCAAGCGGGGTACCGCACTGAGCGTCAATATTCGCAGGGCCCCCGGCGCCACAGCAGGCTCTATGGGGCTCCGGAAATCCTGTCAAGAACACATACGAACACTGTCAATCTCCTGTCAATCCCGTACACGACCGGTTGTACAAAGGCGCTTTATGATTCATTTTGGCATCCCGGGGTTGGACAGGACTGGATATCTTAGAAGCAAGGCTTGAATCTAGACATTACATGCCGACTTCGGAGACTTCTGGAAAGCATTGGCTCGACTTCTCGCACGTCGAGCAAAAAAAGTGACGACATTGAGCCCTGCTGGCAGGAAGCTCGCAAGCAACCAGATCACAAGGTTTTGACTTTACGTCGAAGGACGCCACGGTCACCGTGTCTGCCAAGTGATTGCGATGAGAGCACGCAAGGTCGCATATTTTTGAGATATGGTGCTTGAAAGTCTAGTCGAACGACTTCGCCGCTCATGCACTGGATGTTTCAGTCGACGGCTCCTCAAAATGGAATACACATGGACACCGCACAAAGACGTCCTACAAGAAACTGATCCGCGATATGGAGCGCTGGCTGAGGTGACAGCGCTGAGAGAAACAGAATAGCTGCGTATCCTAAGATGGCTTGGATCAAATGCGCGGTAAGTTCAATTCGGACGGTGCCCTTCTCTCTACGCTGCAGTTGCTGGGCTTAAAGATGATGCTAGAGACTTCGGACGGTGGCGATCCTCGGTCTGCAGACTAGGTCCGACGTTCGGAAGCAGGTCGAAATCGCAGAGCGGCTCACCAAGCGGCTGTGCGTTCGACGAGTTGGTCCGTGTCAAATTGTACAAGTCGAGGTACAGAAACGTGGCGCCCGATAGCTTCGTTTGAAGAGAGGCTAACAGAGATCGGTAGGCTTCCCCGAGCGCTGACGAGATGGCTTCTTCCCAGTTGGTGCAAAAGCCTTTGTTGCCGTTGATCGCGAATGGGATGCAGCCAAAGTCGATAGGGCTGGCCACGACGAAGTTGCGGCCGCCCAGATTGTAGATGGTCTGCAGTGGAGGGTGCGGATCTGCGGACCTCACATACGATTCACTCACCAAATGGAACATAGTCAGAAACGAAGGAAACCTCAATCCTCGCCAAAAGGGAGTGGAACGTGAAAAACAGCGCGATGTCGCGTCACAGTAGTTTGTACATGGCCGCGGCGGCCTAGAAAATTGGATATTTGATTTGATCGGTTCGAAGTCTGGCGAATGTCAATATGCAACAACTCTTTCACGCAGAGATCTTTATCAGACTCAAGAGACGGAGTACGGAGGATGTGAAACATGGGATCTGAAAGCTTTCGACGGTCCATCCAAATCCGGGCTCTGGTTGAGAGCAACGTGCTTTTTCAAACATCATTAAAAAGCTTTCTAAGGCTTGTATCATGGTCTACCTTCCGTCACAAATTTTTAACGAGAACTTTTGGAAAATGCGTTGCTTGCTCAAAATCACCTTTTTACGATGGTTTTTCCTTCAGGTTTTGAACCAGTCGACCTTGACCATTTCTAGGGTCCATTCGGAGACACAAGAAGCAAGAGGTCATTGCAACCAGGCTCCTATCTATTTCAGCAGAGATCTCACCAGACACTGACACAAGAAGGATTTGATTTCTGACCTGAAGCGTGGACTGCAGAGACGCTGCCACGTCATTGACGATGCTCATGTTTCCCCGGATGGGAAGCACGTCGTTCGCCCCGATCACGATCAGGTACAAACCGCCCGCAAAAAACTCGGGCCTTGGGTACCGGGGCACGACGGACAGCTCGGAAGAGAAGCCAGACTGTTGGACGTTCCGCCAGTAGAGCGTCGCATTGCCGACAAAGTCCTTGAAAGCCGTAGTCTGCAGAGAGGGTTTTAGGCCAAACCTTCATCGAACCAGCTGCCGAGCACAAGTCTCGAGAATTGATCATGCGACGGGTTCGTAAGATCATCACACGCCTTCTCTTGGGTCTCGTCCTCGAAGGCAAGATCCTGCGGAGCTGGATTCAAGTCCAGACTCAAATGTTAGCAACAGGCAGCTACTTTCTTGGAACCTCAAGCAAAAAAGGTTGAGCTTGACCTATATCCTGACCTGCTCCGGCAAGGGTCCGGGATTGGTGCCCGCTTGCAGCGCCCCGCTTCCCGAGAAGGCGAAGTTACAGCCGTAGTACCAACTCGCGTTCGGTTCCAGAAAGGGGTGGGAGAGAGCCGACAGGCCCAGCATTTGGGACAGGTAGTCGGGTAAAATCAGGCCGTTTGAGAAGCGGCCGCTGCGCGGGGTAGGGGGAGCAACGTGTTTCAGCATGCAGTGTTGAACTAATACAAGCGCGTTGGCTGCTGTCAGGAGTAGCTTCTTTGAGGTGTCGGGGTGGTGGCTTTTCTTTCGAGTAGCAAAACCGAGGGGGTCATGAAAAGAGAAGGCAAGCGACTTCGAGACGACGGCCACCAAACCGAAAGGGAAGCGAGAGCACAGGTCAGCGCAGCCGGCCAGACAGTGCCGCTGCAACGTGTGAAGAGAGTTGCTGACAAGACACTCTTCGACATGCGGCAACGAGACTTCACTGCTCAAAGACACGAGGGTCGAGAGGGATAGTGAATAATTGCAACATTCAGAGGCGTAAGCTACTGGTCAGTTGACATGGAAGCCATCTGGACGCCCCTGCAAATGAGGAGAGACAGTCTAAAACGAGGAACCCCAGGGGAGAGACCTTGGCTTGAGTTTCATCAAACGCGCCATGATAAACGGTCAAAGTTTCGGTGCAGATATGTCGCTCACCTAACAACATACTCGTTTCGGGGGCTGGTGCCGTATGGGAAGGGTGCCCCCTGCTTGGTGAGGTAGGGCCTGCAGAGAAACAAATCAGTCACTCAATGAAGAGCCAAAGAGGGACTATACAAATCTGTCTCAGCAGCGAGACACAGACAGACTGAGCGAGCGCTGACTTTATCAAGATCAGGTATTCCATAGAGGTATCTGTTAGAACTGTTGCTTGCTCTCTACGTTTAATGTGCTCTTATTCCTTGCCCAGCTCTTGCTCCTTAGACACAGTCTTCAGCGGCTAACGTACAACACACTGCAACAAGTGGGGCCGACACTGTACTCAACAAAATGCCGGGAAGTCCTGATTGAAATGATTCTCAAGCAGATGCAACCATCCACAACCAAGACATAAGCACTCTCAGACTAATTTTACCCTACATAAGCAGATTGCAGAACATCACAGGATACAAATTTTGCATCAAAGAGCGGGTCGCTGACTCACACGTTTCCTGTATCGACGAAGGAGTCACCTGCAGAAACACCATGGCTGCAGTCAGCACCTGATGTTTGACGGTGTCGCTCAGATCTCTGCCCCGTTTGGGCCAATGTCAGATCCTCTAAACATGAGAAATTTTGTCAAAGATCCGACCTTTGACCTGCATTGAAGCTCCATGGTCTGTTATAACATGCAAGCAATGCAGATACTTGAGACCCCACTTTTCCCCTGAGAAAGCTCCATCACTTCTACCCAAGGGTTTCCACACAATGGGGCCAACACTTCTATTGCAACCCCAGCGCAACAGGATTTTTGTCACGAGGCTCACCAAACACAAAGAGCGCAGGCATGAACGGGTAGGGACTGCTGCTTGCAGAGCCGGGTGCTTTCGTTGGAGAGGGGGCAGGAGCGGACTTAGGAGCAGCAGCCAAAATCCGGCCGTGTCTAAGCTGACTGTTTCTGGACTCAGCCGCTGAGGTGTGAATAAGACCAGACAGGGAGCAGAGCAGCAGGAGAAGCTCCCACGGCCGTGATTGGGCCCTTCTTTTGGCCCGCATCATGCTGATGTCAGCGGCGGCCTAGGAAGGCGATCCCTGCTAAGAGAATGGTGAGGTTCTAGAACTACAAGAAGGCAATCTGTTCTGCTTCTTGAAGTCTGCTGGTGTCTCAACAGCCCCGATTCTCCTTGATATTGAATGCAGAGGTGATTGAACGCAGTTGGGATGCAGGGATTGACGTTCAATGGGGATGCCTTGAGAAGGTGGTTCAGCAGGTGTGTGAGATGCTCAATAAAGACACATGAATGCAGACTGTATACTGAGGGGAGCAGGCAGCCACTGCAATCTGCTGCTTTACCACTTCATCAAGCTTTGCCGACAGAGGAGACTTGCTTGAACTTGTGGATAGTAAGGTGCAGGTCTAGGATCCAGGCTGGGTCAGTGCTGACCAAAGCTACAATGATGAGATTTGGACAAAACGTTTTACCAGTCTAGTGCCTCTAGGGGCACTGCCCTGGTCAGTAACTCCACTGAAAAGCGTCGTGACCCAACATTCTGTGAAAGGGTAAGTGTGAATTGTCATGGCATTTTGAATGGTTTCTTGTGTAACAAAACATTCTAGATGAACAAAGTTTCTAAAGTGCAGGATGGTCTAGCCTCCACACATGGATGGTAAAAGTATGGCAAAAGGTCCACCTTGTCTTCGATTCCCAAAACTTAGAATGAACAACTGCCCTACCACTCTCTAGTACATCCGTGCCCAGGCTAGCGCTCATTGTGATGGAACACTCTATAGTCAAAAATAGTGCTTTTCTTGTTGCTGCAGGGAGGTGAGCACCCACTGTATAACCACTATCTCGACTCGCACTACGGAATCAAAGTACTCTCGATCTGATGGTGAGGCTGTCCCCAGAAGAAGCTGACAACATGGCTTACTTTTCTTCTGCAGAGTCTCTCAAACACCCTCCAATGCTTAGTGGCAGCACCCTGAGGGCTTCAGAAAACCTGGTACCACATTCCCAGATGGAGTCCAGTCCAAGCTGCCACCTTTGGAAGCTAACGCTCAAACGATGCTCACTGCCATGCCTGCCATGTCCGTTGCCTTTGCCCCGTGCTTAGTGAGGAACGCTATGATATTTGGTGCAAACTCCCAAGGGTGCCCCCACATTGTTTCAGTACATTCCCGTAGCAAGGCCGAGGGGCCTCATTAAGCCAATAAGCTGAGATAAGTAGCAGGCTGCTTGCCTTATTTGTCAAGATCTCTGAGGTTAGAATACTGCCCTGCTAAACTTCGAAGGATGAGCGCTCCTGACTCCACAGACGTGACAAATTGTCCAGATGCAGCACCTTGTGCCAGCACAAATCTCTGAGCTGCATATGCAACATATGCATGATGATGGAGCCAGATCTGTCACGCCTGGCAGTGGGGGCTCCCTCTGCTCTGTACCGAGTCCCGACCATGTACGCACTTCGTTGGTACACAAACCTGGGTTCAGAAGCGTTGACGTTGGCACATACAGTTTGCAGAACCAAAGAACGGCTTGCCTTCCTTCGGGTAAAAAGTCCTTTGCAGAATGAACCGACATTTCAGAAACAGAACTTTTAACCCAATGGTCGACCTGGGATTCCTTCTAACCCGATGTTAGTGTTAACATTGTTACCCCCCGGGCCCTGGAGCAGTGCAAGACTCAGATACAAAGTTCACAGCTCAATGACAATGATGATGGGCCCTCTATAGAGACTGTGAGCTGCATTCAGCTGGCCGCCCACATTTCCTGTGCATGCAAATGGCCAAATGCAATCCTCATGAAAGAAGTATATCTCTGACATTGAATGTGAGCAGCAACCTGTTGACAGGGGTCTCGCAAGCAGCATTTTCAGAGGCTGGTTTTCGTGGAGCTTGTTGGTGGCTCCTTACTGCTTTCACCACACTCCTCTCTGAAGATAAAGAGGACTTTGAGTGCTAACACGATGAACAGGGCTGCTTAGCGGATTGGACGTAATGGCGCTCTCCAGCACAAATATCTTGTCCCCAACCAGAATTCCAATTGGGTCCTTGTCCACCGGCTTTGAAGACCGCTCACATGCTTCTTTTGAGAAGAGCCGTCAGCTGACAAGTTTCTGCGCACAAGCAAATGTATACCAGCACTGCAGAACCCCCTTCAGAATGCGCTCAGACTGCATAGTAAAGAAAGCTCGTGGAAAGTCATATCCAGCTTCAAGCGTGCTGCGGCGAAAGCAATGCACATTGTTGAGAAAAGAGGCCGCTCTGCTCCCTTCTGTGAGAATATGCTGCTCACTTGGAGCAGGTTACGAAGGGCCTGCTGAAGCACGGCTGGCTAGCGCTGAAACAGTTTCGGTGGGGGGTCACGATGGAATGAAGCTGGAGATATCACGTCTGGTCAACGGCATGTGGCAAGTAAGCGGGTGAGAGGAAATCTCTTTATGTAAGACATGAAGTTTCTTCCGCCACTCTCTGCTTCCTGTCAATTACCCGTAATTATCCGGACCCTCTTTCAGTTCCCTTTCATTTAGTTTAAGTGGTTGGCTGATTGTCACAAAAGTTAGAAGGACAAAGGGAAAAGGAGTCAGTGCCCAGTTGAAAGGGGCCAAAATCAACGAGTCAAACAACTTTCCTTGGCCGTCAACTTGATGACAAGTGATCCTATTGGTCTTCACAGAAGAGTCTGAACTTCAACCACATCCTCAATAGCTAGTAGCTTTTGCCTGCAGGGGTTGGGGCCGAATCAACCCGGAGCATGCTGTCGACAGCATGATTCAGCATGCAGACAAGGGTTTTACAACATTTGACATGGCTGATCATTGTGAGTTGCTCACTGTTCTTCTCTGAAACGCTTCTGACTCCACTAAGCAAAACCTACATGGGAATATTGCAAACCTGCCGGAGGTTGGTTTGTGATAAAGTTCTTATCTGTTGCTTCAGTCCTTGCATTGAACTGGAAAGAAGTAGCCTATGTTGAATCTAAACAGACTTCTCTCTCTTGACAGCACTTCTTTTCAAAGGTGTTATCAAGCATGCCTCTGCTGATGATGAAGTGCCATACAACTTTTGAACTGGCACCTCGTGAACTCATTATTAATTGCAGCAAATCTGGGGAAAGGGCTACATCCTTCAGATTGTATAGTCCCCTGTCCAGATTATAGGTCCTCACTTTCTGAATCAACGCTGATGTTCTCAGCCCTCTCCGTCTTTGCATATTGGTTGACAAGAACGATGATTCTTTTCATTTTCCTAATATATGCCGGTAGTGTGATGCGATGCAGATGGGCCGGCCGAAGAACTGTATGGCAGGTTTGTTAATCGCCTTCGTCGGGAAAGGGAGGAGGAAGCCTCCAAAGTTCAGGGGTAAAGTGCTGACCCCTCAGACGCAGTTTTGAAACTTCTACATCAGGCACTCACAGTTAGGCATGGCACGCTTCATCTGAACGACGACATGTTGGGTGTGGTAGCGAAATGAACAAGGAATGTTGATTTTTCCTTTTTGCCTGCACGTCTTACACTCGAGGTCTGCTTCTAGAGATGCAGAGACCATGCGATTGCACAAATGCCCCACCTGTCTTGGGGCTGCTTTGTCGCCGCAGGCGTCGCAACTGCGATCGAATGGAGCTCAATACCTACATAATGGATGCATAGAGAAACAAAAGACTTTGTTAACCCTGCAGGCTGACGAAATGGGTGCCCATGCCTGGCAAGATGACGCGCCAAGTCGTGGAGGAAAACGTTGACAAGAGCCGCCGGCGGATGGATGTCGCCTGTCTCGACATGATGCAGTTTCATTGGTACGTCTACACTGATGCTGGCTTCTTCCTCTGTGGATATGTTTACCTTTTATGATCAGTCTTGTCTGTGCTAGATCGGATTGCTTGGTTTTATTTTTGGCCACATGTGCTCGACTCTTGGTCTACTCAAGGAACAAACAATCCACATGATGCTTCGATCATTTGGAAGCTGCCACGCAAATTGCTGTCTCTTTCCAGTTCGTAATTCAAAGGCAGAACTTAGAGATGTCCTTCAGTCACCCCAAGGAAGCATTACGAGTGAATCGACGCCTGATTTGCCGTTCCCTTCTGTTTGTTGAAGGAGCGTTCCTTCGATCCGTTTTGTCGGCCAAGTTCCTTTTTCCTTAGTCGTGCCAGCTTGTTCAACTCTGCTTTCGTTTTCGTCTGCTTCAAGGCTGCAAAAGATCGCCCGATGCAACAAGCTACAAGCTCTTACCTTCTTCTGACATAGCCGGTGACATTGCCTATGCAGCGATCTTGGTGCTGTTTGAGCGAAAGGACTCTCTCTTCGCAGGTGGGAGTACGAGGACAAAGGTTATCTTGACGCCTTGAAGCATATGACGGATCTCAAAGAAGAGGGTAAAACGGTGCTCCAAATTCGTGACTCTCTGGTCCCAGAAAACGCATTCCGTTCAAGATTAAGGGCTTCGGGGTTGGCCTACCTTGTCCGGCTTGGTAGTCGGGACGATGGTTTGCTGATGCTAATCTTTTGACTTTCTGTACAAAGTCCGGACGGTTCCTTTGCTTTTGTCCTATGGCTCACCATCTGAACTCGGTTACATTCGCTCGCCTCGTGTGGTTCTGGTCCGTCACGTGACATTGAACCGCGGACTGGAGTATGGTTGCGTCCATTTGTTGTGGATACTTTTGCGCCGATTTCAGCCGTTCCGCTCTAAAACTGAGCCGCATCGTCCTTCGCTTTCCACAGGAAAGATCAAGGTGCTGTCGCTGACCAACTTCGACACGAAAAGGCTGCAGACCATACTCGAGGCAGGCATCCCCATTGCGAGCAATCAGGTGAGCCCTCTTGGCCCGTTTAACAGATGCCTTTCAAGGAACAGCACTTTTTCTGGAGCACGAGCCAACCGGTTTTCCGGAAGATGACGGCACAGCTTTCTTGCTGAACTTTAGATTACTGATGCACTTTCATTCCCAGAGGATACTCACTGGCTCCACACCCTTTTCCGGTATCTTTATGAGCACGCCTTGCTGTCACTTGTAGAAACTTTTCACACTGCCGGTTTCCGTCACCTTATGCAGGTTCAGCACTCGTTGGTGGACATGCGCCCCCAGGGCGAGATGGCCAAGCTGTGCGAGATCACTGGGGTCAAGCTGATCACGTGAGTGATTTTGAGTCGTGGTTCGATGACTAGAATCAACCCTGGCTGTAGTGAGGCACCCAAGACGTCGTGATTTGATAGCTTGCCTTCCTTCTCTTGAAAGCGTTTGCGAGGAAATCATATTCTCTTTGAGGAGCCGTAATGCGCGCGGCAGCGATGGAGCGCATTGCCGGAAAGAAAAGTGAGCGTTGACAGCAAGAGAATCGAAACTGCCAGGACTTGCAGAAACATGTGACTCTCAACAATAACTTGAACGGACAGGGTTGCATTCGTTCAGGTACGACGCCAGTCATAAGCGGTTCGCTTTGCCGCAGGTACGGCACCGTTATGGGGGGACTTCTGAGCGAAAAGTACCTCCATACTCGAGACCCCAGCAGCATGTTCGGCGGCCCCCCTCTCGACACGCCCTCACTGAACAAGTACAAGCGGGTGAGCACGCATTGGCCAATGAACATCCAACAAGCTTGCAACTGTTACGTACTTGTGTTGTCCTTCGTTTGCGCCGTCATTACGGGAGCGGTCGGACGTATTGACTAGCGAATCAGCGCGACTTCTGAAGACCGACAGGCTTCTTTTGCTCGTTTCTTGCTTCAGCGATCCGGTGCGCCTGACTGTTCCTGCGGATTCGATGATTTTTAGCGTTGTGTCTTCACTTAGTTGTCTTCATTAGCGCTCCCTTGGTCGGCTCCAGATGGTCGACGCGTGGGGCGGGTGGGAGCTGTTCCAGGAACTGCTGCGGGAGACGAAGAGGGTTGCGGAGAAGCATGAGGTCACCATTCCGCTCGTTGCCATGAAGTACATCTTGGATCAAGTGAGTGCTAAGCGAATCCGCCCACATGGTTGGACCATTTGGCAGCCCCGTCAAGCTGAACCTCTCTGCTTTGACGGGTTCATCAAGACGACGAGCGCGCACTTGATGACCGACATCGGCAATTCTTACTTTCAAAACGCTCAACGTTACATGTTGGTCAATGGAAAACATGAAAGCGGTTTAGCCGTGCAGTGTGCAGTCTGTCGGGATATCCTCTCTCAAGGAGACGTTTCCTTCCCTGAACCCCTTCAGCTGTGAAGTGATCTGGCCTTGACTTTATTTGGGTCAGCCAATGCTCTACCTCCGAATGCACTTTGACGTGGACGCCAAGTCCAAGTGATCGCACTGCGGTCTTGCGAACTCATCATTCGAGATGTTCTCACTTTCTTTTGCAGCCGGCTGTTGCTGGTTCTATGGTTGGTGTGAGGCTAGGACTGTCGGAGCACATCAAGGAGAATAGGAAAGTCTTTCCCCTCACTTTGGATGAGGAAGATAGAGGTCGGATCGACTCTGTTCTTCAGAGGGGAAAGGATCTTACGCGAGTGATAGGGGACTGCGGTGACGAGTACCGAAGAGGTTAGCTTGACTCAGGTAGTACAGTTTTGGCATTGGGAGGCATCGTTGTGACCACGTCTTGGAGGTCTTCTGGTGGTTATGAAGGATACCTCTAGATTCATAGACTCACTCATAGCGTGTCAAAACCCACGAGCATACGTGTACAAAATCGGAGAGAAAAAAGGATTCGAGTAGCCGAAGGATGTTCCGAGGCTGCACAATCGTGCATGCGACAATACAAATACAAACTGAGAGGGTTTGATAGGTGTCCCTTACCATTTTTAACGTGCTGTGGCATGAGTTCTCTGACACCCTTTTGCACATGCTCTCTCTGTATTTGGTGCACTGTACGCATTGGGTGATTGGTGAACTTGTTCAAATATTGCCATGATGTTGATCCTCATTGATGAAAATACAATAAGCTGTAGAACCGTATGTATGCCAATATATCCTTATAATGAGATGACATGCGATCTAATAACCTGAAGTTGCTCCCATTGAGTTCCGTTACAATGCATGGTCGATCATTGAAAGAAACCATGATCGATGCATGACGGACTTATTACCATATCGCCGGCCTGAAAAGAAATGGACGCTACTAGCTACTTGATCAGCATATATATGCGCCGCGGCCCGGCCGCGCGTGCATCATCATGCACTGGCCGGGGGTTTCGGGTTTTAGGGTGAGGGGCCGCGCGGGCGGGGGCCCCCCCGAGATGACCGCGGCCGCCCGCTATATCCATCGCTTATGAAGCGCGTGCAAGCACGTGTCTTGTCGGAAGGGGTACGCAACCCAGCGCGGCCGCGTTTCCCGCGAGCTCGGATTATTCTAGAAGGTAAAACATAGATTTCTCGTCGAAGCGATGAATGCATTCCGAGCACTGGATCCTTTCGACGACACTGAATTCATGTCTCTCGCTTGCATCTACCCTGTGTGGGCTTTGGGACGGCCACGCCATGCTTTCAAGAGCCGTGAGCTGAGCTTTGCTTTCAAGAAAGAACTCGAGAGAAGAGGCTTGGCTTCACTCGCATCAAGACGAGCACCGCTGTTGCGGCTGCCCAGCTCTTTAAGGAGAAAGGGACGTGTGTGGAGACAGTTTGGGCATTCGGGGTGGAGCACTGTGGTGGATGTTTTTCAAGGTGTGAACTTGCAGTAAGAAATCGCACCTTTGACCGCCAGCAATCATGGGGGTGATGCAGGGGGGGCAGATTGCATCAAGGGCGTTGCGCCAGATCGGTCAGGTGGCAGGAAAGCAGCAGCGCATTGGCGGGCTGCTGGTAAGTTAGTGGTGGTTGTGAAGGGAGTCTCTTATCAACATGCATTACGGTCTGTGATCTTTGATTGGAAACAATTGGTTAAAGGGGTATCGTTGTCTCCAATGCTGGCGCCGGGCTGGTGCATGCACCGCCTTTGCTTTTTAATACGAGTCTGAAGAAGTGGACAGCTGGCCAGGGTTTCCGGTGTGTGGATGGAGGTTAGAGTGTGGCGATATCATGGTGGTGTGTAAAAGTGCCAATGTCTGCACTGTATATTGTCTAATCTGGCCACTGTCCCTCTTTTCTGCTGCTGTTAGTGGGTTTATCAAATCAGGATTTGTGGATCTTTACAGCATCATTTCCTGTTGCAGCAGGGAAAGCAAGTCGATCAGACTTCGGCCGGGGCTTTCGCCTCATCTTTTCTGCAAAAATGGATGGTGCCAGCTCGCGCATACAGGTGAGATGCAGTGGAATATTCGAAAGGTACTCTTATATCTGTATGTTCGTGAAGATCTTTGAAGGATTGCAACTTATTGAAAGTCATCAGCAACTTTTTTCAAAGTATCCCCTGGTGTTGTCAGTATCCTGGTGGCACAGCTTTCCTGACAAGTTTAAGCTGTGCACCATTACCAACGAGTTACTCAGATCTTCTCGGTTGTTCGATGACATTGAGGATTGTTCAGTTGTACTTGCGTTTTCCGATGCTCTCGGCGAACCGGGATTTTCAAGGCCTTTTTGCAACATCCATCTCTCATCAGATTGTTTCACAATTGATGGACTTGCTGCTTTGATCGTGCCTGCATAGATCAGCATGAATCAGTGGATGTCATCCTTGCAGTGCGGCGTCAGGAGGCGACGTGATTGGAATAGATCTGGGGACCACGAACTCGTGCGTCTCAATCATGGAAGGGAAGGTGAGAGCATATTGCAACTTATTGAAGCTAGTTGAAATTTTTGCTGCCCTTGTACATAACTGCTGTTTGCTCTGTTTCAAATTGAGATCTTGAAGTTACTTGTGAAGTGTCACCGAACGGATCGCCTGTCAGCTTTTATGTTTTGGGGGGTTCTGTGAGGTTGTTTTAGCTTGTGCTAGAGTTCTCTCGACCTCTCATCCTCTCTGGTAAAGTTGATCGAAGCCTCACATCGTTCTGCTGGTGTACAAGTCCCATTTATTCTGGTATTTTTGGAGCAGCTCTTCTGGATTTTTTTCTTGGCGCTCTTCGTATGATTTGGACCTGTCATAACCACCTTTGTATGGTGAAAACAGATGTGGTAAGATAAGTTCATGAAAAGCTGTAGTATCGAAATTCTTCTGTAGAGGTTTCCAATCATGTTTGAGAGGCTCCACCCTTCTCCCCTGCTCCGCAAGTTCACGTCATGAGAACTTTTCCCGTCTTAGCTTATTCTGACATTCCAAAAGATGTTACGTTTCGTGGCAAGGAGGCTGTCCGCACTACCTGTGACCTTCACAGAGGTAGTCAGCATGCGATGACGTGTCTAGTATCCATGAATAAGAGTTCCTCGGTAGTAGGCGTAGTGTGCGCTTCAGTGAATTCATCCTATCGTTTCTGCAGGCTCTGAGCAGTTGTTATACTGGTGGAAGAGAAGAAGACACTCCTTGACACTTCTTCCATCACTTCTGCAGGCCCCCAAAGTCATTGAGAACGCTGAGGGTGCCCGGACCACTCCGTCAGTGGTGGCATTCACACCAAAGGGTGAGCGCCTGGTGGGACAGCCTGCTCGCCGGCAAGCCATCACTAACCCGCAGAACACGCTCTTCGGTACCAAGCGGTTGATTGGCCGCCGGTTCGATGACGCGCAGGTAAGCGCTCGGAGCATGGACACTTGTGGTTCTGACTTTCGTTCTAGTTGCCTGTCAGTCAGTATCGTTGGTCATGGTGCGTGGTGCAGATAGTTTTAGGTTTGTTGCGGAAGGGTTTTACAAAACGTGGGATATTACTGTGTGCATCTGTCATGCTGACTCGATTGTTGCAAGTAGCTGGAGAGTTTGTTCACTTAAAACCTGTGTGTCGTGGAGGGTGTCACCAGGTAAAAGTGCTTAACGGAAGGCAGGCTAAGCATCCCGGTGGGATTTCCACAGGAACTGGCCTGTATGGTGGGACTTTTACGGTGTTCGATGGGGTTCACCTTTTGAAGAACGGCTTTTGCTTTCGTCACCCATCTCCTTCCCTTACGGTGTTTTCTCTTACGAAAGCCTGTTGACGAGCTTGAGCAGGCCTTTTGAGAAGGTGGCGATCAGTGGCCTGTGGCATTTGTGAATCACAGGATCGAACTCGAGCAAGGCAATAATAAGATCTGTTCTCCACTCGTATTGGGGCCTTATACGGAAATCTCCGTGTTTATTCTTGCAGACGCAGAAGGAGATGAAGATGGTTCCGTATAAGATTGTGCGCGCCCCTAACGGCGACGCCTGGGTGGAGGCGGCAGGCCAGCAGTTCTCCCCCAGCCAAGTGGGGGCGTTCATTTTGGGCAAGATGAAGGAGGTGAGCGGATTCGAAATTCTTGAATTAAGGATTGCATAAAAGGTTTGAGATCAAGATCAGGCTCAAGGAGGGGGAGGGGGAGGGGGGAGGGGAGAATCGAGGGATCTGACCAACAGATACCTTGGAAGGTTCGAAGTTTCGATCAGGTTGAAAGTGGAGGAGGGAGTCGATCAATCTTTGAGCCGTACGCTTCGTTTTTACTGTAGAACGTCCAGTTGTTCATCAGCGCATACTATGGTGCGGCGTCAGGTCAAGAATTGCCGTAAAATGGCTGGAGCGTTGTGGTTCTCCGGGTTGAATGTTTCTCAGAGTAACACATTTTCTGAGTAAAACACCTGCGTTCTCGAAATGGAGTACAGCCATCAGCAAGGGCCGTCACAGGGAATCCCACTTTGATTCAAAGCCAGAGCCAAACGAGCCAGATTCAGTGGCCGGTCTCCCCTGACACTACCTCAAATCTCTGCAGACTGCGGAGGCATACCTAGGCCGGAGTGTTAACAAGGCCGTGATTACGGTTCCTGCCTACTTCAACGACTCCCAGCGGCAGGCCACCAAGGATGCTGGCAGGATCGCAGGTACTTCTCGATGTACCTCTCGATTAGATAAGCAAAACTCTTGATGAATCCAAGCCCTCAGGCAAGATGCCCAGTAAAAGCAAGCCCTTGACCCAGCAATATACACGAAAGGCTTCGGCCGCTCGGCACTGCACCCACCCTTACCCCCTAACTAACCGCCACCGGTCCTAGCACTGTCTCTCTACTGTTTTCTGAGCTTATTGTTCGCTGCATCGATCAGTCTTGTTGCTCACTGAGTCGATTGTTCGGTGCATTTGTCGATATCATCGTTCACTCAGCATATCATTCTTTGCATAGGTCGATGTTTTAAGTTCGCTGAGCTTGCCGTAAAGTTGTTGACTGGTATCGATCGCAGGGCTAACGGTGGAGCGAATCATCAATGAGCCGACGGCAGCGTCCCTGGCATACGGTATCGGGAACCAAAAGGAGGGGATCGTGGCAGTATATGATCTGGGGGGCGGCACATTCGATGTGTCGATCCTGGAGATCTCGGGGGGAGTCTTTGAGGTGAGGATGTATTGCCAACGTGGAAGCTCCGTAAACGGGAAAGCTGAATCCTGGCGATCCAGGGCGTGAAGGCTGGGGTTTCCTGTTAGCACAGAAGTTCCAAGAGATTTGCCTGAACGCTTCTTGACCTAGAACGCTACAAACAATCACTGGAGTCTGGGCCGGTCTGATGTCTGTCGCATGCTCCCAACTCTTTTACCCTTAACAAGTAAACGCTGCGTTTGCCAAGTCGAAATGCTTTTGGAGGTGCCGTCGACATCGGTTCTTGGTGGCGACACCCGCTGTGCTTTCTAGTATCGAATTGAACCGCCATTTCAGCTGATGTGTTTCTGCCTCAGGGTGTCTGCTTGCATTCCCTGCTTCGTGTCAGGTAACTGAGGCGAAGAACGTCGAGCTGTTTCTGGTTGGCGACGACTTGGCAACGGGCTGCTGCACTATTTGGTCCTTCGATTTTTTCGACTTTTATGGTTCCGAGATTGTCAACCAGAGCAGTTTCAACCTCTAATTCGCTCTTCATTCGGGACGAAGGCGGCGATAGTCGAGAGGTGTCTAGGCGGCGACGAGATTGACAACGTATCTTGCACTAATGGGTCATTAAGCATCAGCTCATTATCTCTCTTTCATAACATTTCTTGTGATCAAAAGCACATTTATTAGCGCTTCGTGTTTGCGGGTGAAGGCGACAAACGCGCGACACGTTCCTAGGCGGCCCAATTCGACGATCCGCTTGCACTTTTCTACTGACTTCTCGCTTCAGCTGTGGATACAATAAGCACTTGGCTTACCGCTTCTCACTGCTGTGTAACCTCAGGTGAAGGCGACAAACGGCGACACGTTCCTGGGCGGCGACGACTTCGACAACGCGCTGCTGCACTTTTTGGTGGACACGTTCAAGGCGGACGAGAACATCGACCTCACCAAGGACCGCCTCGCGCTGCAGAGGCTGCGCGAGGCCTCCGAGAAGGCCAAGATCGAGCTCTCCTCCACGCTGCAGACGGAAATCAACCTGCCCTTTATTACCGCAGACCAAACAGGTGCGCACGTTATGTCTTTGTGAAACTCAGCTTGAACGGTCTTTTCTTTTTTGGGAGCCGGGGCTTTATGGTTGGTGAGGTGGGGCTACCAAGATCAAGCTCTCCTCCACGCTGCAGACGGTAATCAACCTGCCCTTCATTACCGCAGACCAAACAGGTGCGCCAATTTGACACGATCCTGACCATCGGATTATCTTTCCTTCGCTGTTCAAGGGAGGGTGGTCAGATCTATGTGACCAGCGAGATTTGCCATCGAGGTTCAATCGTTCTTCATGCTGCTGAGAGGGATCAAATTTGTCCTTGATTACCACGGGTGTCATAGCTGCGTATTCCGGGCTGGTTACGGTGGCTGACGGGCCGTGAAGAAGGTTTTCCTTCCTCGGCGCTCTTGCATTGCTGGCGGTTGTCGGTTTCGTACTTCTTTGACGCTTGCTGTTGACAGGAAAAGGCAGACATTGTTTTGGAAGTGTCCCCTCGTCGACTAAGCATGCCCGAGCAAAGCGGGCTAAGCGGGATGGTCGAAAGGTCCCGTGCTCGAGTTTGGAACACCTCCATCAAAAGCTCTGTCCGGTGATTGGTGTACGGGTTTCGAGCTACACGCCATTTGCCCGTTTTACAGGCGCCAAGGCAGCCGAACGCGATCTTCGTGAGCGGTCTTAGTGCAGTCCGAAAGTTTACCAAGCTTCGAGCTTCCATGCAGGTCCAAATTGACTCATCTCAGCCTTTCGGTTCGACTGGCTACTGAGGGCGTCCCTTTGTTTTCTGCAGGCGCCAAGCATCTGAACGTGACCCTGACCCGGAGTAAGTACGAGTCGCTGGTGCAAGACCTGCTGGATCGTACCAAGCAGCCCTGCAGGTCCTGCATGAAGGACGCCGGGATTGAGGCCAAAAACATTGACCAGGTAGGATTTCACTTTGGGGCCTGGTATCTCACCTCTTTGTATATGAAAGTCAGTTATGTTTCATTTTGCAGAACGGGGATCGCCCACATTAGGGTGTCAAGAACGGTGCTGAAGGTCAATCGCGGAACCGAGTTTGTTAGCTTCACACTCACGGCCCTCAGGCCCCCTTTTTTATTCTTGTTCTTCAATGTGAGAGAATGCCACTCTCGGATGTGGCTTCCTAGGTAGCATACCTATGATAGTGTGCGGTTGATGCGTGCTCTTTTGCTATTCACCACTTCTCACCATGCTCAAAGATCCGAACATGTTTCCGGGAAATTCCTAGCCCTGATTGAATTGGTCGACGACTGTGGAAACCAGGTTCTTCAGGCCTCTGAAATTAGTTTCAACCAGCGTCTCTAACACCGCTGCCAGAAGGTCTTGTTGGTGGGCAGCACGACCCGCATGCCCAAGTGCGAGAAACGTGCGCGAAGAATCACTCGTTAACTCGTTCAGCCGATTCAAGCCGTTTCAGTCTATCGGGTTTTGAGTCCGCTAATTTTGGGTCCGACCCCTAAATATCAACTCTTACCGCTCTCGCTAAACATTTACGCAGGTCCTGCTGGTCGGCTGGCATGACTTGCACGCAGAATTTCGCGCAAGATCCACAACTGTTTCTGAAATGTTTTCGGGGGCGTCAAAAATAGTCTCAATGCTTTGTTACCCGAACCCCTCGAGCCATCAATAACCAGCCTCCGATAACCCCTCCCCACAGGTCCTGCTGGTCGGCGGCATGACCCGCATGCCCAAGGTCCAGGAAATCGTGCGCGAGATCTTCAACCGGGACCCCAGCAAGGGTGTGAATCCGGATGAGGTCGTGGCCATGGGGGCTGCTATTCAGGGGGGGGTGCTCAAGGGCGATGTTAAGGACCTGCTTCTGCTGGATATTACCCCCCTCTCGCTGGGAATTGAGACCCTGGGGGGCGTATTCACACGGCTGATCAACAGGAACACGACGAT